GGCCGCACGTCCGTCCGCCCAGCTCCGCCCTGTAGTCCCCCGCCCCAGCATCTTCCTGCACTCCCCGCTCCGCCCTGCACTTTTCCACCCCAGCATCGTTCTACAACCCCGCTCTACTCTGCACCCTTCGTTCCGCCCCGCACCCCCCGCACCCGCCTTGCACCCCCCCCCCCCCCCCCACTCCGTCCTGCTCGCTATCCCCGCTCCGCCCTGCATGACCCTCGTTCCAACACGCACGCCGCTCCACTTCGCCCTGCACGCCGCCCGCTCCGCTGTGCACGCCCCCCCCCCCCCCCCACCCCGCCCTGCATGCCACCCCGCTCCGCCCTGTATTTCATATCGCCGCTGAGAGATCTGCGAGGGCTCCGGGGTGTGCCGAGCTCCTGACGACCAGCGTGGGCTCTCCTTGGTACGCGGCGGTCGGCTGCTGCAGGCGTGCTCCTGTCGGGGCCATGAAGGCTGTTTTTTAACACATCGACCAGTGTTCTTCGTACGCATTATCTGGGTTGCCGTTCTTGGTAGTCTCATAACCGCGGAACTTTGTGGATTTCAGCCAACCTCCGCACGTTCAGATGACGCTCAAAAGAATGCAAAAGTTTTTCCGCAGCATCTGTCCGCAAAAAACTTGATCTAAGCAAGACAGGCTTCGAGCTGCTAGGTTTCTTCCAGCATTGTGAGCTCAAAGTTGTTATGCTTTCTGTGCTTACAATAATTGACCTTCATTACGCCAAGATGCACTGGGTGAAGGACGTCGTCAAGCAAGCATTAGTCATAGTGCTAGAATTCAACGGCCTGGTCGATCAAACTCAACGGCCAAACTCGACCAACGGTCAGCGGTCAAACGATCAACGTTGGCCAACGGATAAAATCAACCAACGGTTAACGGCCAAACTCAACCAATGGTCAACAGCCGAACGGCCAACGTTGGCCAACGGCCCAACTCAACCAACGGTCAACAGCCGAACTCGACCAACGTTGGCCGACGGTTAAACTCAATCAACGGTCAACGGCCAAACGACCAACGTTAGCCAACGGCAAAACTCAGCGAAGTGGCAACTATTAGGTCTTGGCAGTTTCATCATTGTTTGCTTGATGGTATCGTTTTAGTAGCACTTCCTCGTGCTCTGGTGGTTAATTATTGTCAGCATAGGACTTGTAAAATAATAAATACTTCCCTTGGCCACATTCAAGTAACCCTGAAAGAACCCGACTATTCTCCAGCCTCGCTTACACACCATTGCGTTCATGGCTCATCCGACTCACGTGTAAGCCTGTGCGAAGCGCGGCAAGGTCATTACCGCACAATTGGCTGTGGCGGACGGAGCCGTTTGCCCGGACAATCACTGCCGGGCGGAGCGTGGTGGCCGTGGCGACGGCCGGGCCGCCTCTGATCCCAGCCGAATCAATACCGAGCCGACGGATTTCAGTTGGGAGATTTTCCCCGAACGGTGCCGAAGTGAGCCCCGGCGTCGGAGGCGGCGCCGGGTTCTCACCAGGCAGCGCCGGCCGGCAGGACAGCCTGGTCGCCGACAGTCGACTCCTGCCGCGGACAGTCAACTCCCGCCGGCGACAGTCGACTCCCGCCGCCAACAGTCGACTCCCGTCGCCGACAGCCGACTCCCGCCGCGGACAGTCAACTCCCGCCGCGGACAGCCGACTCCCGCCGCCGACAGTCGACTCCCGCCGCCGACAGTCGACTCCTGCCACGGACAGTCAACTCCCGCCGGCGACAGTCGACTCCCGCCGCCGTCAGTCGACTCCTGCCGCCGACATTCGACTCCTGCCGCGAACAGCCGACTCCTGCCGCGGATAGCCGACTCCTACCGCGGACAGTCGACTCCCGCCGCCGTCAGTCGACTCCTGCCGCGGACAGCCGACTCCTGCCGCGGGGAGTCGCCTACCGCCGCAGACAGTAGCCGCAGACAATCGGTTCTTGCCCCCAGCTGATTAAACTGCTTCCAGACAGTCCTAAGCAGAGGTCTCTTATACCCTAGGACGCACCCATCTCTCTGAGAAGAATGAAACGAGAGTCTCTCAAACACGCCCTTCACAACCAGGCAAGCACTCATCCCTCAGAAGAATCAAACGCGCGCCCCCCAAACCCAGACACGCGCTTCTCTGCGCTCCTTTGATCCCGCGCGAGGGCGGAAACAACCCCACCACGCGGCGTTACGGACCGATGGCTGAGGCCCGGCCATATCCACTGTGAAAAATGATGCTGCGACGCAGACCATAAGCTCACCTTGAGCTCGCATTATGAAACGGCCGGCATTGTGTCGCCATGTCGCTGTCGGGGCCGCGGCCGGGCTGACGGCGCGGCGTACGCGGAGCAGATGCGCCGCCCGCCGCCCGCCGCCGCCTGTCCGGCGTCGTCGCCAGCCGCGCCGGGCGGGTGCCGACAGCGCCGCCGGCTCCGGTGAGAGCGGCGCGCTGTCGGCCGTCACGCTGGGCCGGACAGGGGAGCGGACCGAGTTTGCCCCGAGGCAGCGATGCTCACGACGTGTTGGCGGCTGACGACTGCCGCAGCCATCTGAGTCGAGTTTCCGACGGCGCGTCGGTCTTCCCCGGGTTATCCAGCGCCAGCATCAGCACGAGCTGCTTCTTTGGTCGTAATGAGTTGATCTCCGGACTATAAGTGGGGCCGTTTTCCCTGAAAACATTGTCCTCAAAGCAAACAACATGAGATCGCATGCCGTTCTTGAACGCTTTATACTGGTTTATTGCATTTGTTTTATTTAACTCTGCTCAGTCAGTTTACTGTCACGTGTCCACCGCCATGAATCCCTATTCATGACATTTCAATGGAGCAGTCTGTTGCAAGTTTGGAACGAAGTGTACCATAAAGAGGCGTGTATCCGGAAATGCTGGTCTGTCGTCTATACCGCATTATTTTCAATGCACCATGCTGCTTCAAGTAGTACATGTGCAGCAGACGTAGTACATTCATGTTGTGCCTAGATCTCCTCAGTTGAGGTATCCACCTTTAAAATGTTGCTGTAATGTCATATTTTCAAATCTCATAAACCTGAGAGTTTAATCATCTAGACTCAACACTTTTTCGTTCAAAATCGCCAGGTCACCTACTGGTTGGCCTGTAGTTGCAACTGTGGCGGTTATCGCCCACCGCCGCGATCTGGCGTGCTGTAGCGCCTGACCGGCCGACGTCGGCCGAGCCGCGTCCGGACCGGGGCCGGACCGGGCCGGACCGAGCCGGACTGGGAGCTCGCGCCGCCGGGCCGATCCGAGCCGAGACGCGCGGGGAACGCCCGTCGCCCAGTGCCGCGATGCTGCCGATTGGTCCGGGCGCTGCGCCGTGCGGTACGCTATGTACACGGCTAGCCGGGTGTCCCGCGGGAAATGAGCGCTATCGCCGCCACTCAGAAGACGTATGGCACAGACAGACGAATTTCCCGGTCGTGGGGAGGGGGGAGGGGGGGGGGGCGCAATTTGTCAATTATGAGCGCCCTGCTGCCACGCCGAATTAGTCTGCCAGTTGCGTCGTCACATTCCGAGTATTGCCGACGACGACGCACGGTTACGAGGAAAAGCTTACTTTTACGACCGTGGATTCACGCCTCAGGCCCGTTTTAAACATGGCTTTAAAACGAAACTTAGGTACACCGCGTTATCATGGAGCTGGATATTGGGAAATGCTATGATGCGTGAGTAGTGTTCAAAAAGAAGTTGAAAAACCGGATGCATACAAGTGTGCCTAGGCAACGCAGAGGTATTTGCGGAAAGGAGAGTAAGCGTGCGAGAAAGCGCGGGAGAGAGAGCTCGAGACGGATAGAGACAACGGAGCCAATGGAAACCGGGCCTCTCAATCATGCGCTCGGTGTCAGCGCTGTCCGCAGAGACGCGCCGCCTCCGGCGAAGAAGAAAGGCTGGGACCCAGGGGAGACGGGCAAAAGTGAGTGGCAATGCAGAGAGACAAAAAGGGTTGACACTATCACACCTATTCTTCAGCGAACGTAAACATTATGCTGCGAAGCTCATGTTTGCGTGGAGGCTATGGTTGAGGTTATGTAGTGGAAGTTGTGACAGCTTGGTGTATCTATGGTAAATGAATGACCACGGGCAGTGGCGTACTCAGAATATTACGGTGGTGTTGGGGGGGGGGGGGAAGGGAACACAACTAATAAGGTTGCACAAAAGCCGAGTTTAGCACACCGCAGGCGCGCAGTTCCCTGCATGTTGTAAAACAACACCGCGTGTTCTCAATTTTCATAACTTAACGTGCCTACCTGTAATCTTTAGCTGTCCAAGTGTAGCCACGCGTATATCAATCCATGTCATCACTTTGCTAAGGGGGGCATGCGCCCCTGGATTGCTATTTACGTACGCCCCTAACCATGGATGGGTTACCTCGTGGGTTACCTCACACACACTCGTTGGCACGGCCCGTCAGCCCCACACAGTACTACTACGGACGTATGTTCACGTCAGAATCATGAAACTTTTCAACGCGATCAATGCATCACTTAGCGACAGGCACGTATTTGACGGGTGAGGTCATCCAAGTCGGGCCTCCTAAGACGGAAATCTTGAATGCGGGAGTGATCGCTCTTTGATCTTCTTCACTTATTCATCTTTTGTTGCTGATTTTTTTTTAAAGCGAGCAGATGCTTGGTACTCTATGTACTACGTAGAGGAGTTTGAAATCAATATGTCACACATGCCATAAAAACAAAGTAGTAAATTATGACAAATTAATAACGACACATTTCCAATTTTTCATATGACATATATGCCATAACAACCAGTATTGAGTGCACCATCACCTGATTATACCACTCGATGGCACGACTCTGGAACTAGACACCGCCGACACGGAAGATTCATTACAAAAGCCATTCAACCAAAGAGGTACAAACGCATGCTGCAGCAGCTTGGCTGAGCATTAACCACCCTACAAAACCGCAACGCGTTTCGCAGGACCGAATTTTGCCTGGGTGTGTCCGCCTACTCCGTGGCCGACCGCCAGCATGCCACCTCCGCAGGTGAAGGCGAAACAGGAGGGCCACCTGAAGGCGCGGAACTTCATGCCGCCGTACACGTCCGACCCGGAGATCCATCTGCTGCGCTTGCTGCCCCACGACCCGCTGGACGAGCTGGAGGACGCCGCCTACTGGCGCGGCTGGGACCGACACTACCGGCTCGATCGCTACTACCCGCTGGTCCGCAACACCTGTGAGTCCGGCCGGGATCAGACTGCACGCCGTCGGTCCGTCTGGGGTCAGACTGCACGTTGTTAGTCCGGCTGGGGTCAAACTGCAAGCTATGAGTTCGGCTTGGGCCAGACTGCGCATTGTAAGTCCGTCTGTGGTCAGACTTCGTGTTGTGAGTCCGGCCGGGGTCGGGCTGCGCCCTGTGAGTCCGGCTGGGGTCAGACTGCGTGCCGTGACTCCAGCCGGGTTCACACCGGGCACCTGTCGGCACAGTAAGAGCCCCATGTAGGCCGAGCAAGAACCTGACAGTCCAACCGAGGATCCAGCAAGGTCTGACGATGCTCCTGTAAGTACAGCTTAAGTCAGGCTGCAGCTCAACCTGGTGAAGCTGGTGACGGTGACGGAGCCGGTGACACTGGATGGCGAGGGTAGTCAGCAGGGGTCATTAGTTCCCGCTGCTCCACAGGACCAACCGGTCCAGCCATAATGTGCCATGTTGTTGACAAACTGGTGTCAACTGCAACCACCGGCTGCCTTTCCAAGCTCGCCTCCATTACCAATGCTCGTTATTGAATTGCTATCCTATTCAATAATGCTACTCATGTGACATGAGCATGCCCGTTTAAAAAGTTAGCCCTTAAGCCTGCGCATTCGTCTTCTGTTTACGCCCAATGCATCATAGGAATTGATACATATGGACGAGCCATCAAAGGACTAAATGCTGAAATATGCACCCACCTTTTCAATGCGGGTAATGTGGCTCAGAATACTTCTGAATTCTTGGAAAACAGACTAACTCAAATTTACCAACGGTGGATGCGTGATGAAATCATTTTTTTAACGCCTATTGACCTGCAAGCCAATTTGATTCTGAATATCAATGTCGTTGGAATAAGCCAAGACGAATGTGCAGACTCTTGTAGATAAACATGCGCTTACAACGCATTTCGTTCGGCTTCCTAAAGTGTCATGGAGACATTTAATCTGGATGCATCAGCCATAATACTCCTGCTGCGCTGACGCAGTCTGCAGCCGAAGCACACCATATGTGCCCTCTAAAATGCATGGCCAATACCCTAGTCAATAAACAGAGACAGTAGTGCGATGCATCTGACAGCCATGCTCCGCCTGCTTCAGCCAATGCATACGTATGCGCAGCCGTGCCGGGCCTTCACCCGGAACCTGTGTTTCAGCTGCGACCGAGTGGGACGCGGTGCGTCTCTGGCCAGACGAGCAGCACGTGAGAAAACAATACCACCGCCTGCCCGCGTCCCGATTCGTTTTAGACGAGGCCGGCCGTCTGCTGGTGATCGACCCGGCCTCGTATCACAGTGACGACGACGGCGCCCCCCTGCGCCGCTCCGGCTCGATGCCGAGCTGGCGCGGCGCGCCCGACGAGCGCGCCTCGCCCGAGCCGCTGTACCACAGCGACCAGGGCGACTACGACAGCCATGACGACTACGTCAGCAGGGTGCAGCGTCGGGCGACGCGCAGCCGGCGGCAGCGACGCTCCCGCTCGCCGCACGCCGAGCCGGCCGCCTCCTCGGACGAGTGGAGTCCGGGCGCGGCGGCCGAGGCGCGGCGCGAGAGGCGCGAGCGGCGCAGCGCGGCGCGCCAGCCACCGCCGCCACCGCCGCCACCACCGCCGCCGGCCGAACGTCAGTGACAGCTCGGGCGTGCTCTTCATCGACAATGGCCGGCTTGTTGATTTCGGTCCGTCGCCGGCGGCGAGCGAGCGCGGCGAGGGGTGTTACCGGGCCGAATCGATCGAGACCCGTCCCGCCGCCACGCCGCGCCCGCCAGCGACTCGCGTCATCCAGGAGTACGCGAAGATGGAGCGTCCCCAGCGGCCAGCGACGGACCACCCGCGCCGCCGGCGCCGCTCCAGCGGGCTGGAGCTCATCCGCAAGGCGCCATCACGCATACCGCTGCCGGAGCGGCGCGGCCGGCGACGCACGGCCAGCTGGCGGGACCGCCGGCCGCCGGCCACCGCCGGCGTCATCACGGATGTGCTGGTGATCGAGCACCCGGCGGACGTGGAGAGCACGGCCGGTAACCCGGGCCCGCCGCCGCTGGTGCTGCGTGACTCGGCGGCTCGGGTGGAGGATGCGGGCGCCGGCGGCGCGGCCGACGGCCCCGCCCTGGGCTCGCCGGCGGCGCCGTCAACCCCGCGGGCGGCGGTGAGCGGCGAGCGCTACATCCCGCGGCGCCGGAAGTCGCTGTACGTCCAACAGGATCAGATGGGACTCCTGCTCGGCAACAGCGAACCCGACGACGACCCGTACAGGACCGAGTACCGCGACATGTTCAAGAAGAAGGAGGGCGGACGACCCGACAAGCTGGTGCAGGCGGACGCCGAGATCTACGACCGAGACGTGTTCGAGAAGGACACCAGCTATCAGTCGCAGTTTGTCACCCACTCAGACGACGAATACCGGACTAAGGATAACATGCGACCGGGCAGCACGCTGGCGACGCGCGGCGAGTTTGACGACGGTGGTCACGGCTCTCGGCGTCAGTCGGAGAAAAGTGACCAAGGGGAGGGATCGTCCAAACAGGTCTCTGGCGAACTCGCAGAGGGCACGGCCAAGGTCACCTCCAAAGAGGATGCGGAGGGAGCCGAACTCAAAAATGGGAGGAAGGACAGTTTGAAAGAAGCGGCCGGAGGGGTAACCCAGAAGGCGTCTGAAGATGCCGCCAAAATGAAGCATGGGTCCAAGGCGTCCAGGGACAACAACGCGTCTACAGGCCCCGATGAGGATTCGACAACGGGACGGCCCAAAGACGACAAAGGCAAACAGTCCAAGCGGAATGATAAATCCAAAGGGAAAAGAAAAGATGGCAGGGATGCTTCCCGTGAACGAGAACACAAAAGCAAATCAAACACGCAGAAAAAAGATGAAAAAGGCAAATCTGGCGCCGAAAAAGGGAAGTCTGATGAGTCAACCGCACAGAAGCGGCACTCTGAGGACGAACGTGAGGCTGCATGGCGTGTAATTCTGTTTGCACAAGGCATCACCGTGGAAACCCGTCGTGCCATTGTGCTTTTTGTCGCCGTCACTTTTTAGAGGTGACCTGATACTGCACAGCATCGTGTCTTGAGGAGAGTGGGTGCTATCACAATGGCCGTATCATTGTGAGAAATGGCTGCCTTGTTCTTTTTTTTTGAGGCGGAGCCGAAGTTCGGAATCGGGTGGTAAGACGATATCCCAGCAAGACGCTTTTGCACCACGCGGTGTGGGGTGTATGTGTGTGCGTGCGTGCAACCGATTTTGGCAACGGATCTTGTGGACGCGATTTTTGAGGCACAATTGTTCTCGGAGAGGCCGAAAATCACACAAATTCCCATCCCCACATTCCACGACACTGACTGCGCTAACCCAAATTCGCCTCGACGACGACGAATGGATCAGAAAGTGCATCTGCGGTGTGTACGGCGGCTAGAATGGAGAGGTAATGGAGCGTAGCTGGCGTCGTGCATCTTGTAAGCGAGCTGATCCGCTATCCAGCTCTGTAAGGCACCGTCGGGGCACCGCAAAGACGCGCCAGGCCCTGCAGCACGACGACGAGGCCCGATTCATTGCATCGCTTTTGCTGCGCACTACCAGTGTTGTACGCCTAGTGCATGCTGAGTTGTGATGACTGGCAAATTACGTCACTTGTGAAGTGCATTTGCCAGGAACATTATGCATATAGATAGGACAGTAGTAATAGCTTTGCTCCTTGGAAAAAAAACAACAAAACAGGAGAATGGAGAGAGATGCGTTGATATAAGCGGTCTCATGATCTGAGATGCCCTAAGGTAGACGGCGATATGAGGATCACGAGTGTGAGCCCACTCGTTCCCGAGAGGATACGCACGCCAGCAGAGCTCCAGAACGCCAGCTCCTATCATGGCTTCGCTGATGATAAGCTGCCTCCCCTCCCCTCGGCCAGTCGGCCAGATGGCATGCCAAATAAAGAGATGGTCGATAGGCTACGATAAATTATGCATTCCTAAATTTTCATGTTCATTCCACGCCTCCCAGCTGCATTTATTTGCATGAGTTTGCATTGCGTTGGCGTGCAGTTGCCAAGCTGTTCAGAGAACCAGTCATCATCTGCCGCTCCGCCCCCCCCCCCCTCCCTCCCTCCCCCGCCCCCGTTCCCCGCCCCGCCCCCGCCCCACAATCCTGCCAGCGCGGTCTCTTGATCAAGGCAATGGAGCGACTCCGTCCGGGCACTGAAGGAGCACGGGCCTCGTTCCAGTCTTCAATCTGCGCAAGAAATTGGCAGCAGTCAAGAAGCGGCGAGCAGAGAGCGAGAGGAAACGAGACGAGCTGGTGGCGCTCTCCAGAAGCTTACAGGAGCAGCTGAGCATCAGACGCGATGAGGCGAGTGGGTCCAAACGATGGCTAGGTGTCAGCAGCCGCAGTAGGCTCGAATGTAACCTGTTCCACTTTGTAAGAGAGACATCAGAGATGAATGCAAGGTGAGAGCAATACCAGCCACGGCAATACACAAGATCAGCCTGTGTGTCTTCGCAAGGCCTGTCCGTAAATGGCCTTCCGTAAATGTCCGTAAATGGCACCCAGCACATTGCTGCATGACTGGCGGCGTATTCCAGGGACTGGCAGAAATAGCGCAAGATGAGCGAGCTACGTCACGGGTTATTCGCTTAGGCGATGTTTATTCTGATATTTATAAATCCCCGTATGCCTCGTAAATGTGAATGAAATGCCGTGGCTAACACGAGTGGGACTTTAATAACTTGAGGAGGCTCTGTGCCGTTTCCCCAGTCATGTGAGCGTTGTCCTGGCGCTGCAGCTGCTTACAATATTCGACATAACATCTCTATGCGCCTGATTATTTTTGACAATGCCACCTCTGGTGACGGTGACCAAGATATAACATTTTGCTTTCACTGTGACCGTTTCGACACGCAGGATATGCAAAAATGGAGAGACCTTTACCTACAAGAACGCAAGCTCACAGGCCCCTTGGAGGAAGCCTGCTCATCTTTGCGTCGGGAAATCGACAAAATGCATAAGAAGCTGCTACAGAGAGTGGAAACCAGACACAAGGGCACGAGCAAAGAAGGTCCATCACGAAAGGCAAGTTACAACGCTTTACTTTAGGAGTCGAAGGGTTGGCATTCTTCTTGGTCACCGACTGTCGTAGCGCGCAGCAATCTGACGAGAACATGTGGTGAAGCAGTTGCCTTACCTAACGGCCTAGTGCCGACGCTGATGGTGCTGACCCATGGCGAGGTGACGTTTTGAGTTGTTCGGTGCAATCAAATCCATTTTTGCTAGATAACTATGATCATTTGCTATTCACTAATTTATGATCATTATATACCGTCATTGTTAATGACCGTACATAATGGCAATATAAATACCTTAGTCTTATTTAGGACATCACGCCGACTAGATGTATCTTGCTATACGATTATAACACGAACGAAGCACACCTTTCAGTTTTATACCACACCAAAAACATACACTCTCACTCCAGCGCGCGCTCCACTCCCCTGCCTGAGCGCGTGTTGATGCTATTTTCTTTCGGATCTTTTTTTACTGGAGACTTGTAACAGCGACAAGCAGCGGCGCAAATAAGCAAACGATTCCCAAAATCGTACTTTAAGTACCAATAGCCCCGGCAGGAATTCGTATCGAAGCTCAGCTCTGCCAATTGCAGAACAGCTGGTCGGCTGTCGGCGCCGCGGCCCTTCCCGTTTCAGAGCAGCTGGTCAGCTGTTTGTGCCGTGGTCTGCCCGGTTCCAGAGCAGCTGGTCAGCTGCTCGTGCCGCTGTCCGCCAGGCTCCAGAGCAGCCGGTCAGCTGTTTGTGCCGTGGTCTGCCCGGTTCCAGAGCAACTGGTCGGTTGTCGGAGCCGCGGTCCTTACCGTTTCAGATCAGCTGGTCAGCTGTTTGCGCCGCGTTCCGCCCGGTTCCAGACAAGCTGGTAGGCTGTCGGCGCCGCGGTCCTTCCCGATTCAGAGCAGCTGGTCAGCTGTTTGCGCCGCGTTCCGCCCGGCTCCAGACAAGCTGGTCATGCGTTGACGCCGCGGTCCGCCGGGGCGCGGACGCTGTCTGACCTGACCTGACGTTGGCGGCCGGCAGCTAACGATGAAGCTGAATCTGAAGCAGCTGGACTCGGACATCGAGGACTGGCGGCGCCGAGTACGCTCGACACAGATGATCCTGGACACGGAGATCAAGGTGAGCGAGAGCACGGAAATCGGTCCGGCTGCCTGCCGGACCCGAAGGCGACGCGCCGGCTTGTAGGTCCAACGGCTCTCCTCCTCGACTACTCCAACGGTAATGGTCTTCGTGTTCCGTTCCGGTGCTGCATCTGGGAATGGGAGATGTCAAACAGCGTTCCCCTGCAGTAAATCTGTGTCGGCCGGGAAGTTTCGCTCACGCTTCCTACAGCGGAGGCGATAGACACACTGCTCGCTGTTAACTTCTAACTGAGAGAGGGCAACGAAACAAGAAACAAAGCAGCGGCTGTCTTGATTACCAAATGATATCAGCAATGTCTGGATGCCTTCTTTACGGCATGCTGATGTCTTCCAGGCATCATCACTAGAAAGTTTTTGAAAAACGAAATCAAAAAGAGCGTTTTTCATCAACAAAACAGGACTTCTGAGGTAAAATAGGAGCGCGACTTAAGACGACTACGGCTCATGTATCTGATGAGAACTATCCATTTTTATTTGTTTTCATAACACGCACAATGAATTTGGCATCAACCATGTCCCATGCAACGACCCTGCGATTTGCCATTTCCGTGGTGTGGAAAGATTGTTCGGATCGGCTGACGAACCCCGCCCCGCGCCCAATGAGGACAAATAAAGCATTGTGGAGCTTCAGTTAGTTTTCACCTGCAGCCCATCCCGCTTCACCACTGCCGTTGGTTAATTGCAGTGTGATTCAAATTCCCCTTCCAACGGATTTCAGCGTGATTTATTGCAGTCATATGGGACCTGTCATAACACCCTTGCTTCACCCGGGTGGTGTACGGCCTGGTGCATCCCTGTCGTACGCCAGATCAGTCCCGTTGGACGAGTGTACGACCTGGCCTATCCGATTGTTTGGATGACGGGACCGGTACCCTGTAACTGGTGTTTGATCTTTGACAACCGCTGGTGTTTAACGCACCTCACCGCTATGCGAAATAAAAAGATGCTTTGAAAGTCGCGATAAATTACGCATTCCTACATTTTCATGACTGTTGCCTGGTCCTACCATTTCTGACTGGTGTCTAACCTGTTCATGTGACGGATGAACCGATGTCTGACCCGCCCCACCTGCTCAATGCCTGACCCGCCCTGTCTCATTGATGTCTGATCCGCTCATCTGCCCAATGCCTGACCCGCCCTGTTTCACTGATGCCTTACCCAGCTCGTCTGCCCCGCCGTCAGCTGCGGAAGCAGGCCGAGATCGACGTCAAGACTCTGCGTCAGGAGCTGAGCCAGAAGCGGGTGACCGTCACACAGGCACGCTCCCACTACGGCCTGGACGCGGTCGACTGGTACCTGCTGCTCGGCCGTCAGAAGGCCGCCCGCAGCGGCCGCAGCCCCTCCAGACAGGCGGCCGGCCGGCGCGACGCTTCTCCGCAGCCGGCTTAGACCGCACCGGCCCGGCTATGGCTCAGCAGCTGGCCTAGACCGACCCCGCCTGGCTACGGCTTAACAGCCGGCCTAGACCGACCCTGCCCGGCTACGGCTTAACAGCCGGCCTAGACCGACCCTGCCTGGCTACGGCTTAGCAGCCGGCCTAGACCGACCCTGCCCAGCCGTGGCTCCGTGCCGGCTTAGACCGACCCTGCCTAGCCGTGGCTCCGTGCCGGCTTAGACCGACCCTGCCAGGCCGCGACGGCCGGCGGGTTCGAGCGCACCGCTGGCGAAGGCTGGTCGGCGCGGTGCGGCTCGGTCACAACGGCGTGAGGGCGGGGCGCGGGGCCATGTGCCAGGTCCTAGGCGGCGACTGTCGGCATCAGACGCTGCGATGAGATGATTTTTCGCCCCGCCCGGACACGCTGCCGACGGCTTCAGTGTCGCCGCTCTGATTCAGCTTTTCCGGACTAAGTTTTTGAGAGAGACGAAGGCCTTTAAGCCCTGTTCGTGTGGTATCGCTGAATGCCCCTTTTTCATCATACCTACCTGGCTTGCACTTTTCTGTTTTCTTATGTAAACAGTTGTCAAGATAATTACGTCTAAAAACGAAGTTTTTTGCTGTATTCTGTCGCATTTTTACGATTTCCAGTAACACTTTTCTTCAGGCCATCAAGCTGCATACTGTGTTTTCGAAACTCCTCGCCTGGCCACAATACGCCAGACATTGTCTATCACACAGTGTCCCCCTCTATTTATTCACCAGCCTCTGTTTTTCTGACTTTTGCGATCTGTTTAGCGCACCGATAGCGGGGCATTGCTCTGTGGCGTAACACTCCAGCCTGAAGCCCCAACACGCCACCATCCGTACGCGTACTTGGAGTCCTGTCTGGCTGGGCCCTAACCATCCTCCCCTCGAGCATCACCGCGACGGCTGGAGACAAATAGGCTGGCACGCGAGAGCGGCCTGGATCGATGGGCTCTGGCTGGTTGGAGGCTGACTCCAGGCGGGTGCTGGTTGAGCCGAGACAGCTTTCAGCTCTCATGAAACTTTTCACACTTTGAGAGCGGAAAACTGCTCGTGACATCGCATCCGACACCATTAGCATGCATAGCAGCTTGTAGTTGTGGATTGGTGACATGTTTCGTTTAAATTTAGCAACGTCGGTCAGGTTCACGAACGAAGGTATGTAACTTAACATTTATCTGAGAGATAAATGTAATGGACCTCTTGGAAAGATTGCTCTCACTGACACGAAATAAGGGGCAATCATATGATATGAAACAGTAAGCGATAAGCATTTACCGATCTTTAAGTAAATTAATGTCGGTAGCATAAGGATTAAGGCATGGTATAATCATACTCGATATATTTTTATGACGGAATGCAGTTGCGTATGCTTATTACCGCACTTCTGTACATACGATTTTCGTGCGATGGTATGCATCAATGTTATGAAAATCAAGCTGGTAGTCACCAGCCCGATCCAGTAATGTTGATAGCTTGCGTAGATGAAGTTACTGCTTGTTTTTCGTGACGTATCTGACCTCTGACATGTACTCATTTCGGGCGATTTATATGCCGTGCTCATTTCGTGCTGGAACGAAACTGAAGACTATTTACAACCCGCCAGTTCGGAACAGACGACTTAATGATCCAAACCGGCGCTGTAGCGGGAACACATCCTGTGCAGTTGCGTGTATGCGCATGCCTATTCCGGAACTGTTTCAGCTATGTAGCATCCGCTACATGGGCTTAGTAAGTCACGGAACTATTTCCTCACGATTAGGCGTGACGTGAGGTTTTCAGACAGCACAGGAGCTTAAAGACCTCCGTTCGAATCGACCATACGGGCCGAAATGATGAATTGCGCCTGGAGAATGAATAACAATGTATCCAGAAGCCGTGGATCAGCACTCGAAGCAGGACTAATGATGTGTTTCCGACAGAGTATGACGATGCGAAGGCTAGGACCCAGCGGCAGTGACAGTCCACAAGCTTCGATGGGAGCCATGTTGCTGAGAGTGTATTGTGATTGTTCTCCAAAATTATGCAAAGTTTCACACATCACAACGCATGTGATGAAGTCCAATTGAACCTACACACCTATTCCAATCGAAATGAAGTTGGATGACTTGAGTTGATTATCGCTTTTGTGTAACTGCCATATCGTTTGCCGGACATGCGTAATTTTTGGATCATAATGAGTGTTCGCAAGTTATGGGCTGTCACGAACTGTGTGCTGTGACTGGGGGACCCCAGGCGGTGTGTGACTGCAGTCGTGCCGAACGCTACGGACACGGCCATCAGCACAAGGCCACGTATGGACAGGAAGCTGCTGACCTCTAGCTAACTCGGTAGAGAATTACAGTGCTTTTGTGCAATGGTCCCCATGGACTGTGATACTCGCTTATCTACTTTGCCGCATATTTAGGCATTGCTCCATCCCACGTCTCAGCTAGCTTGCTGTGGCGACAAGTCAGGTATGAATGATCTACCTTTATGCAGTCGGTTGTTACTCTTGCTCTATTTGACGTCTCTTAGCACACAAATAAAATGCATGATACACATGTATGGAGTTTTCATCGTTGGTGCGTGTCGGGTGTGTTTCGATACAGGTCAGCGCCCGATCAGGGGTTGCCGGCACTCTGCTAAGATAGCGGCGGCCCGTGAACAGCCGTGAGCGGGCTGACTGCAGCCCGCTCACGGCTGACTGCAGCGCTCTCCCGGCTGACTGCAGCCCGCTCACGGCTGACTGCAACCCGCTCCCGGCCGACTGCAGCCCGCTCACGGCCGACTGCAGCGCGCTCCCGGCTGACTGCAGCGCTCTCCCGGTTGACTGCAGCGCTCTCCCGGCTGACTGCAGCGCTCTCCCGGCTGACTGCAGCGCTCTCCCGGCTGACTGCAGCGCTCTCCCGGCTGACTGCAGCGCTCTCCCGGCTGACTGCAGCCCGCTCCCGGCTGACTGCAGCGCGCTCCCGGCTGACTGCAGCGCGCTCACGGCTGACTGCAGCCCGCTCACGGCTGACTGCAGCGCGCTCACGGCTGACTGCAGCGCGCTCACGGCTGACTGCAGCCCGCTCACGGCTGACTGCAGCCCGTTCACGGCTGACTGCAGCGCGCTCAAGGCTGACTGCAGCCCACTCACGGCTGATTGCAGCCCACTCACGGCTGACTGCAGCGCGCTCACGGCTGACTGCAGCGCGCTCACGGCTGACTGCAGCGCGCTCAAGGCTGACTGCAGCGCGCTCAAGGCTGATTGCAGCCCACCCACGGCTGACTGCAGCGCGCTCACGGATGACTGCAGCCCGCTCACGGCCGACTGCAGCGCGCTCCCGGCTGACTGCAGCGCGCTCCCGGCTGACTGCAGCCCACTCACGACTGACTACAGCCCACTCACGACTGACTACAGCCCGCTCACGGCTGACTACAGCGCGTTCCCGGCTGACTGCAGCCCGCTCACTGCTGACTGCTGCGCGCTCACGGCTGACTACAGCCCGCTCAAGGCTGACTGTAGCCCGCTCCCGGCTGACTGCAGCGCGCTCAAGGCTGACTGCAGCGCGCTCCCGGCTAACTGCAGCGCGCTCACGTCTGTCTGCAGCCCGCTCACGGCTGACTGCGGCCCGCGCCCGGCTGACTGCAGCCCGCTCACGTCTGTCTGCAGCCCGCTCACGGCTGACTGCAGCCTGCTCGCGGCTGATTGCAGCCCGCTCACGGCTGACTGCAGCCCGCTCACGTCTGTCTGCAGCCCGCTTACGGCTGACTACAGCGCGCTCCCGGCTAACTGCAGCGCGCTCCCGGCTGACTGCAGCCCTCTCACGTCTGTCTGCAGCCCGCTCACGGCTGACTGCAGCCCGCTCTCAGCTCTGCCACGCAGTTCCTAAGCTGACAGTGCAAGACAAACGCGCCGGCTCGTCAGCATGTTCGCAGCTGAGCGCCATCTGGACACGAGTACATCACGTGGCTGGCAGCCCGGTAACTCCTAGGGCATTTCGCCAGGCGCGACCGCCTGGGGCCCCGCCTGATGGGTCTCGGGATCCGATCGGCGAATCAAACAAACTCAAGGGGCGATCAATGACCCCGACCAATCTCACTTAAGCACGTTGAGTTTGCATCTGTCACTGGACTGATTAAGTCTCGCGAAATACCTTAAAAATCACAAAAATCTTCAACCGATTTCAGAATCATCGAGCAAACGTAATATCGGTCTCGCAACCTTATAACTGACAACACAAGAACTGGGCGTGCTCGCATGCTTCAGGGTCATACTGTGATGTTAGGTATGGTCAAGGTTCAGGTCTAGATCAGCTAAGGGGGAGGAGTTTTGGGACCATGTTTCCCCGCTCCCTTCATGGCACCAAAATTCTGAGCACTTTCTAGCAATCTACAACGCCAAAGGAGTTTTTCAACGGGCACCATTGACTGTGAGGTCCCCATGACCCGACTTAACCCCTGCTCTGTGAAATCCAGGCCGCGCCATTGGCCGAGATCACGTCACGTCAAAGTTAGGCCACCTATCCGAGACGTTCAGATGTAAGCCATTTGTTTGGAAATGTGTGTGTTGCACCGACCATTCGTCACAGACGAGTGAAGCAAGTCATTTGGTTCGACAATTATAAGCTGATCTCGGACCTCTGACCTTGGTGGACTAATGACACATTCTGTAATGCAAGCAACCCTAACTGTAGAAAGTCAAAGCAATCTATGAACCGCACAAGGTGAAGCAAACTCAAATAAAAAAGAAAGCGGAGAGTGCCACCCTCGGGACATATTTCAAAAACGCGCTATGATGTAATCTCCGGAACAGTGACTTCTAATGACATCACTGGTAAGTGCACTGCAGCATCCAGAAAACGTAAAAAGTAAATACATGTTTTGTATTATAGAGTTCCAAGCATGCAGTAAGCATTTCGGCAGAGCCCTATATTTATTTCATTGAAGCTCCATATTTCAGTACTGAAATGGGCAATCTTTACACATGCAACGAATTCAAGTAAGATATGCGTCGTAGCCTCTGCGACTGTGCGCTGGGATTCCACGTCTATCTCGTTCCAAATCAGCATACAAATTTGCATGAGAAAGAGAAAACGCTTCCCCTAAACACCAAAACCAGGTCTTTGGCACACATAGAATGTGCCAGTCAGAATGTTCTTCACCAATGGCTGCTCCGCGAATTTTGTGTTGGGGTAGCAGAGTGTTCCAGAGGGCCTTGTGGACAAATAGGGGCCTCCTCACAGGGAGT